ATATAAACACAGTAGAAACCAGCATCATCTAAACCAAACAAGACAACATTAATAATGCTGCATGAAATTCACAGTCAAGAATTGAAAAAGGAGATCAGATTAATCTTTGCTACACTTAACCCAATATTTAAGTCAGCAAATGCCATTACAACAACCACAAACTTTCCAGGATAGAAGTTACTGAAACGTTAACAATCATTAAATGTGAATGTTCTTCAACTTCATATATTTTATCTTTCCAAAATTTTCGATATTTCCATACTAAAATTCAAATTTCAATTGCTATTCACTAATTACAAGAATCATCAATCATCAAACAAAGAAAGCAAACCTTCCATGGCCACAAGTGTAGTTATAGAAGTCTCTGCCGTTGAGAATAATGCAGATAGACCTAAAGTGCGGTCAGAATCACACCTTGGTCTTTGAAAATCTTACAAATCGTGGAAACCTTAGGCCACGCATTCTTCAACAACAATGCCCACTGCTCTATCACTCCGTACCTTGCATTCACCACTTCCTCCACCGCAAGCACCCTCTTGCACCAGAAAACCAAAAAACCACAAAATATTGCCCCCAGAAAGACCCCCCACTTCAGCAAAATCTTCAGAGACTTCAAATCCAGGCCTAAAACCTCACCTTGGTCACCAACCAGATCAATGTTTTTTCACTTAACGATCTCAGAAGAGCTCTAGTACCAACAATGCCAAGTATTCACAATCTCAAAGTGTAAATTCCACCAAAAAAGGACGGATTGAAACAATTGGAGACTATACGACATGGGAAGTGACTACTTTTGGATGAAAATTTTATTGAGCATCTCAAATTTCAATTGTGTTGCAAGAAACCCAAACACTTGGATCCGGAAATGAAGGGGGGTCGATTGATAGCAGCGGATTTAGGTGCCTCAAGCCCCCACAATAGTCATAGCTGAAGGAAAATGTTAAAAATTCAGAAAAAAAAAAAAAAAACCAAAACTGTATTCCCTTTTCCAATCCTATTCCTTCTTCACGTTGGAATTGAGCATGCTAGGTGACGAGCTAAAAACAGAGGTTATGGGGGAATATGATGGGTATTGATGGATTTGCTGCAGATGGAACGCAGGAGTTGGGATTCATAATAGAAGAGGAACCCTAAAGAGGTGAAATTGAGGTGATTCTGCGATGCTGATAATCTCCTTTCATCTGTGGAAATGGAGGCTACTTCCATTTGGATTCTTTCTGTTGTGAAGGAAGATGTTGCGGAAAGCGAGTGCGAGAGAGAGACCGAAGCCCAAATCATAAGACTTACCCTTCCCAACATGACAATTACAGTTATATCCCCAAGACGATAACCATATAAAAATCCAGATTCCCCACTTATGAAATGATTCCATCAAGATTCAAACTTCCGCATTTCCCCTTCACCACCAATGTGAAGCAAGAATTTTTATGAGGCTGCTAATGGGAATCTCTAGAACAAAACTGTAAAGAACAAAAACTCGACATATCTTCGCTACCAGTTTGATACCATACCAATCAGCTTAATTCTGCTGCAACTAAGAAAGATTAATAGCTTAAACCTTCAAATAAGTCTGCTGTCATACTCGCCCAGATTGTAAAACACTTTCTCAATATATTTTACAATAAAGAAAGACAAAATTACAAAGCATAATAAAGACAAGAGTAGGCTGACAATTTTAGACAAGCCAATGCTAGCCATAACAGGAACTTCAAACCCAAAAAGCCACTTATTCAGGAAACATTAAATCAGAAGCCACTTCTTCTTTGAACAAGTCTTCTGGCTTTCCTCATCTTCCTTCCACTTTGACTTGGTCGGCCATCAAACAAAGACACAAACCATTTTGGTTTTCCTGCTCGGAAGACATGATATCCCATCTCCAGTCCAACAAAAACTCCACATCCATAGCCTAACACCACAACTCTCCAGCCAAATCTCCAAAACTCATCTTTTTCTTGGAAGAAGCTCGGTGGTGTCCCAATTCCATCACAAGATTTTGACAATGGGATTCCACACAGTCCATTGTTTCCTTCATAAGAACCATTTCCAAAGGTGTTGAACTGATTGCCCTGTGGTATGCGCCCTCCAAGATGATTATTTGAAAGATCCAATACAGAGAGTTGTGTCAAAGATACCAATTCATCAGGAATTTTCCCCACCAGCTCATTGGAAGAGAGATCCAACCATTCCAGATCCGTCAAAGTCCCTAGTGACGGTGGGATATGACGAGTAAGGTTGTTATGAGAAAGATTAAGCCCTTTGAGAGAACTAAGCTTTCCAATAGCATCTGGAATTTCTCCCTCAAACATGTTATTTGAGAGATGAATACTACTGAATATGGTCAAGATTCTCTGCAGCTCATAGTCGAATCCCTTCAATGTCACAACCAGTGAATATTGATAAGAACCGATATTCATGTATTCAGGAGAACCCTCATCTCTATAAATGTCCATCATCGCTTTAAAATTTTCAATGTACCGAACAGGCAAAGGGCCACGAAAATCATTGCTGGAGAGGTCAAGAACTCGCAACTTGGGAAAAGATGGACTTTCTTTGGTGCTCTGCACAAAACCGTGGAACTTGTTGGACCTTAAGACAAGCACTTGAAGGTCTGGTAGAGATTCCAACCAATGAGGGAATGTATCACTTATGTTGTTGTTGCCAACATCTAGAACCTCTAACATGCTACAATTCACTAAAGATCTTGGTAATAGCCCTTCCATTTGATTTCCATGCAAGTTGAGATTTTGTAATCCACAGCCCTCTGGAAACCCAAATGGAATATTTCCATCAAAGTAATTGGCCTGCAAATTCAACACTGAGAGAAACTTAGGAAGACGATTTGGAATCTTCCCGATTAAATTGTTATGAGAAAGATCAAGAATTTTGAGATCATCCTTTTCACATATCCATTCGGGAATATTTCCATGAATGCTATTTTTGGATAGCACTAGGCTTTGTAGACCATTTGAATGTCTTAAGAAATTGGGGAATTCACTCAAGTTACAAGAAGACAAGAAAACATCAGTTAGTTTGGGTAATGTGAAGTTGGCATCAACATTCATTCTCAAGGACAGATTATTGGATGAAAGAATGATGGTTTCCAGATTTTGAAGTGCCAAGAACATGTCAAGTTCTACAAAATCACTAAAATGATTTGATGATAAATCAAGATAACTAAGATTTACTAAGTTAGCAATTGAGTTGGGAATTGAGCCCTGGAGTTTATTGTTTGACAAATCTAGATGTATGAGTGATTTTTGTGAGAATTGATTTATTTGACCTTGAAATTTGTTATGATTGGGATACAAGTCCTCTAACAAAGGCAGGGTGAAAATCCAAGGTGGCAACACGCCAGAAAACTGATTATTGGAAAGGGAA